TGAGTGAGGGCATGAAGAACAATACTTTCTGTATTAGAGGAGAGAAGACTAGTAGCATAGGACGCCATCTTGAATCAGAAATGAATGACTTCCCAGATATTACACCCACTGAAAAGGGAATTGGACTTAAAGGTAAAATTAGATATTTTTTGTATAAATTTATGAAGTTGTTTATTACAGACCGGTATTGCTATATTTTCACTTCTGGTACCACTGGACTACCTAAAGCTGTAATATGCACTGGAACAAAGTAAATGAGGAATAAATAAAAACGTTTATGTCTTTTGAGTAGCATAGCTCAAGATTTGTTTTTTAATGCTTTCCATCTTTTCTCTTGCTAGGCCAATGTTAGTGCCACCTGCATTCTCACTGTTAGGTGGAATGAATGATAATGACATTGTCTATGTTTGTCTTCCACTCTATCATTCTACTGGTTCAATGATTGCCATGGGACAAATGACTGCTACTGGAAAGACTGTCGTCCTTTCAAGAAAATTTTCTGCTAGAAATTTCTGGAAAGACTGCATTAAACACAAATGCACAGTAAGGGACAGAATTACTATTACAGTTACAATAATTGTGATTCTAATTGAGGCTTAAGCCTTACAAAATGTAATTTTTATCAAAATTGAGTTGTCGTGGTGTGCTGACTATACCAACTTAATACAGATGCAGGGAAAATGCTCTCTATCTACCTCAGTAGCCACTTCACATTACATGATCATACTTTTCACATTGTACATGTATATTGAAGTTTGACAATTGGGTCTCCAGTATAGCTAGGTCATGAAGTATTTCCTCAGTAGAGGTTTGTAAAAATCCTAATCCATAGTATTTTGTCAAAAATGGCTAGGATAGAGTTCTCTATTTTTATTTAGTTCCAATCAAAATTGAATATTTTTATGAATTTTAAAATCACTATAGTCCATTGTTTGTAAGCTCATGAAGTTTAGCTCATTTAGCACACTTTGTGAGAAATCCTGATGACAACCATTGGTAGATAAATTTTAACTATTTTAAGTTTTGACCTAATTTTGTTAAATATGATTTTCAATGTGTATTTGGTTACTTCAGTTGTAAAAATTGTTAAAATTAATGGATGTTTATTTACCCACCATTACAAAATGTTAAACATAAAGGCCATTGATTTATTTGGGTTTACAATACTTATGTTATTCTATTGCAGCTGAAGTTACTGCTATTTTTGAAGCAAGCCATGTTTTTGTTTTGTGCAAAAACAGTATTTTTAGTTGAAATTACTTCAACATGGCATAATCGTAATTTTATTATAATGAAAATTACGAATTAAAATAATTACTTTTTTCATATTCTATCTTTTCTTTTGTATAGGCAGTCATTTATGTAGGTGAGCTTCTTCGCTATCTTCTCTCCACCCCTCCTGACCCTGCTACTGATACAGCTCACTCTGTGAGGGTTGCCATTGGTAATGGACTAAGACGTGATGTGTGGCTACAGTTCCAGGAGAGGTTTAAAGTCCCAAAGATTGTAGAGTTTTATGGATCAACTGAGGGTAATTCGAGTTTTTGTAATATTGAAGGAAAACCTGGGTCCATTGGATTTATATCAAAAGCGTTTAGATTTCTGTTTAGTACTTTCTTAGTAAAGGCAGATCCAACAACAGGAGAACCAATACGAAATAGTAAAGGACATTGTACTTGTGTATCATTTGGTGAGCCAGGACTACTCGTTTCCCTTATTGATCAAAAGGATATATTCC